ATTTATTGAAGTTTTCAATCAAATGAGGACAATGGATGAAGATATTTCAGATCAGAAAGTAGTTGAAACATTCTGAGCAGTTTGCCTGAAAGGTATGAGTATATTATTACTGCCATTGAGGAGTGCAAAGATCTTAGTACAGTATCCATTCGAGAATTGATGGAATCACTGCAGTCCTATGAACAAAGAATAATGAAGCACTCTGAATAGTCGGCGGAAAGTGCATTACAGTCCAAGTTCAACTTGAAAATATTCTCAAAGGAGGGAAATTCAATCAATGAGAAGAAGCAAAGCACACTAAAGGATGAACGAGCATGACTCAAACAGAAAAGGAGAAAGATAAAAAAAGAGTAACTTGTTCCCACAACTCTAAATTCTCTTGCAAGATCTGTAAGAAAAGAAATCGTTGGTTTCGTGGAAAGGTTCAATGCTCTCACTGCAAGAAGTTTGGACACAAAGAGGAATATTATAAATTTAAGTAAAATGATCAGGAAAATTTTTCCAAGGAAAAATAAAACTTATTTTATGGATGTTAGTAAGCATCCCATGACAAGAAAAAATTTTGGTACCTCGACAGTTACAATAGCAATCACATGTAAGGGGATGGAAAAATATTCCTTGATGTTGATGCTATGGTTACATCTAAGGTATGCATGGGAAATGCAAAAAAAAAAATGCATGGGAAATGATGTTGTTGAAGCAAGATGAAAAAGGTACAAGTGTAGTTGAAACAAAGAATGGGCTGAGATATATCATAGATCATTAGTATCAAACAAGAAAATCAAAACAAATAAATAAAAATAATAAATAAAACAAAATAGCAACGAACTAAAACAATTTCATTTTTCACAACGTGAACACACATACTCAGCAACATTTGAAAATTCAATTGAACAATGCCATATAAAAAGGTTTATAATTAGTGGAGAAATCATTTTCTCGTTAAGAAAAGTATAAATGATATATGAATTCAGAAGTGTTATTTTAGTCAATTTCATTGAATATGTGAAAAGAAGTGAGGGTCGATGGACCTAATTAAATTACATGTTTTCTACCTACAACACCATATATGACAAAATAATGATTGGAAGAGTTAACTATTTAGTGTTTTTTTTAAACCTCGACTATGCGAAGAAAAGGTTTATTCAAAATTTAAAAATTTGACAACCTAGTAATGGGGGGAATTTCGGCCTTACCCCATAATTTGACTACACTACCTTATATTCAACAATATTTAAATTCAAAAGATGACTAATCTTTAGGGAAAAATTCCTTAGAAACAGCCTTGTTTCACCCTTTTTGTATTCCTTAGAAACAGACTAATTTTGGCATTCTTAACTTGCCCAAAAAAACCTATGAATTAAACTAGTGTACTTCAATTTAGAATAAAAAACAGAGAGATGGAGAAAGTGGTTACACAAATTTCATTGGCTTTGAGGTTTCAATTTACTTCTTATACAATTTCAGAATTTTTTAAGTTGAAAAAAAAAAAAAAATTCAATGGCCACTCACTTGTTTGCTGAGTCAACTGATTGTTATATTCAGATTAATGAAATAGACGATTTGTGAAGAATGTTAATTTTGAATCAACACATAATTAATGAGTTTTGGTTGACTAATTCTTTACATGAATTTAAAAAAAGACATGACCTACTAACTCCAACAATAAATAGATTAAAGTATTGTTGAACACGAATAAACTGAAATTGACAAGATAAACACATTTAATATGTATTGCCCTGTCATTCTAGAAATAATTTTTTTTTAAAGAAAAAATCAAAAAAAAATTATGGAATGAATCCAAGAGAATTACAAGAAGCAAACCAGGGCAAATCCCGATATAAATCACCATTTTAAGGCTTTAATCCTTCAAAACATATAAAAAAAACAAAACTCCTTCACCTCCGGGACACTGGGGCCCTCAGCAACTTCGACCCATTTCATCAAAGACCAAAATCCTCCTAGTTTGAAGAATTGAAAGCTTCCTCTGGTCTTGTAAGAGCCAGACATTCACATCTGTAGGCAGTTGCCTTGAGCCCGAAAAATCACAAGAAGCTCTCACCTTCACAACCCAGTTAGCCAAACCATCAGCCACACAATTGGTTTCCCTATACACATGTCGCACACGATACACCATTCGATGGAGAGAACGGGCAATCTAGGCAAGTAACTCTAAACAAGGCCAAACACACTTAATTTTTCCCAAAACAGAATTAATCAACACAAAGGAATCAGATTGAAGTTCAACAGTATAACCCATCAATGTTGAACAAAGTTTGGATAAAAAATTATCAACCCAATTTAAAATCAAACAATACTCAATTTATGTCTCTACTTTTTAGGATTCTATCCAATTGTGAAATCAAATTTACGCCCTAGTTGCGTAACTTGAGATTCAAACTTCAATTAAATTGGATTTCAACTTAAAATTCATGTTATCTACCTCATAAATCTAACCTCGATTGAAGTGATTTTGATTCAAATTTCACCACTACTTGCATATCATCCAATTTCAAAATTAACCATAACTGACCTTCAAAGTTTCGAATTAAGCTCAAGTTTTAAAAATTTTGATTTAACTTGAGTTGATTTCAACTTGCCTTACCACCACTATACTAGATAGGTTGTGGCATGAATATTGCTATTTAAATTAAATAAATTTGTGGTTTTACTATTTTTATGTATTAAGGATGTTTCAGAATTTTGTTAACAAACTTAATTTTTTATTTTTGCAGGTTAGGAGGTGATGTGTGAAATGACATATCGATATGGTATAATTTGAAATTTGTCAAACAATATAAAATAAGCCACTTGACAACATCAATGTAATGACATAAACTAAATTATTTTTAGTGACATAATTAATTTAGTTACTAAAAATATGAAAATTTTAGTGACGACTTGACAATCATCACTAAAAGAATAAAAATTTTATAACATCACCAATGTTGTCACTAAATGTATGAAAATTTTAGTGATGACATCGAAGTTACCACTAAAGCCATTAGTATTTTAGTGACGACATTAAAGTCATCATCAAAACTTTGAAACTTTCAACGTCGACTAATCTCATTACTAAAAGTAATTGTTTATCATTTTTGAGTGGCAACAGTAAAATTCATCACTATTTATCCAATTTCTCATACTTCTAGTGACGAAATTACAATGACGAACAATTATTCATCACTAAAAGATAACTTTATGTGACAAATAGTGTTGTCATCACTCATCCTAGACCATTAGTGACAACTTCATATGTCATTGCTAAAAGGGTATCATTAATGATGAAAATAACTTGGTCACTAAAAAATTTGTCACTAAAGCCCATAATTGTTGCCGTGGATGTTTTGCTTGTGCTTGATCTTGCACAAAACATTTAATTGTTGGACGGCTGGTGGAGAATGGGTATAATTTCATTTTGAAGAGAATTCCTGTAAAAGTTTGTGATCGAAGTGACCACAAGCAGGTCACAGTAGAGGTAAGAATGGAGAAAAATAAGAACTTTCCTATTGAATTTCACCTAAGAGCCCTGTCACTAAGATGTGAAGTAGTGGAGGATTCATGGCTATGGTACAAAAGATTTTGCCATCTGAACTTTCTAGGACTAAAGATGCTTCAAGAGAAAAATATGGTAAGTGGATTATGAGAGATTCAAACAAGGATGAACCCTTGTGAAGGGTGCATTTTGGGAAAGCAGCAGCGAGTCCCATTTCCCAGGGGAAGATCATGAACCCTTGTGAAGGGTACAACGAAAATTGAAGACATGATGAATTTGATTATAAAAAATAAATTTATTGATATAACATTTATGGTTGTATGTATGTTTCATGTGGTATTGCACATGATACTTTGTATTTTAGATAAAAAAAAAACAATTATTTATTAAAATTAGTGTTAAAGCTGAATGTGGAAATTTTAATAGAAAAATTTAAACACACTTTGCATTTGAACAGTTGCCAAAAAAATAAATAAATAAAATATCGTTAGTTATTAGTTTTTTCTCATCTCAAAAAAAATAGAATTAGAATTTGACGTTTGAAAAAATTAAGTTTGTAAAGACATTAAGGATAAAATGTCTTTAACATAAAGACATCAATCAGACTGATGTTCTTAGATTAAAGACGTCAATCAAGTTGACATTTTTAATTTTGTAGGAAAACTATAATAAGTAAAGACATGAATATAAATGACGTCTTAACTAAAAAAAGTTAGTTTAACTGAAATCTCTATCTTTAAAATGTCAGTTCAACTTATATTTCTCTTTTAAAGACATCAAGTTCTAAAACTATCTGAATTTGTAAATTACTTTTACAGCCATCTGATTTTTAGTGTAAGCTTCTCAAACCAGCAGGATTTGGGTGAAAGGTCTATGGAAAGAGCAAAAACTTGGAATTGCATAATCTATTGGTTTCAAGTGATTGGATTGTCGCTTAGACTTGGCAGGGTACAAATGAAATAATGTTTGAACACAAATTTGATTTAATATAGGTAATTATTTACTTTTCATCATATATCAAAACATGATTTGAACTAACATTTTTCAAAGTAAAATCGTCTATGGAAAACACATTTTAGTTTGGGGTTTAAACCGTGTTTTTATATGGCCAACACTAGATTGGAAACAACTTGGAAATCAAGGTATAGAGTTAACAAAATAAAAAATAAATCTCAGTAGAATGGTAAGAAATTTAAACCCTAGATTACGACAAGGATGGCTCTCTGTGCTTTCAATGGCCGACAATAGTTCTCCTAAATCTAGGGCTCCCACCCAAGGGCCCGATCCTGTAAATCCCACTCCCATTTCGGGAGATGGGTCCCCCCCCCACCCCACACACACACACACACACACACACACACACACACACACACACTTACACTTGAATCTAGTGGTATCTCCACTACAGAGGACCCCCCCACTAGAGAATCAGCAAGCCACCGAACCGTATAGCCTGGAACCCATCCCCTCTATCTCTCCAATTTCGGTCTCGGTCCCAGCTCCAATGACTAGAACTGCAGCAACAAGAAGCAGTCGCTCCATCCTTGCGAACGGGAAGCAGCCGCTCCATCCTAGCTCAGTGGGAGTAAACCACCAAGCTACACCAGGTACGTCCCTTCCTTGGGATCAAGTTGTTAAGAATGGCAGGGGAGTGGGTCTCTCTGCTGCCTCCTTTCAGCAGGGGCCTAATCTTGCCACTATGAAACTTCAATACCATGAGCCAATTAGAGTGAATAACAGAGTGATTGTTAAACCCCCAAAAGAGGTTGCCATAAAGGGTTGTGTTGAGTGGAGAAATTGCCCAGTGGGGTACTTTATAGAGAAGAAACTTAATTTCTCCACCGTTAATTTCATCGCCCACAAGATTTGGGATAGTATGGGATTGTTGGAGGTCTTGGCCAATGATCGTGGCTTTTTCTTCTTCAAATTTGAGGATGAGGAGGCTAGATCTAAGGTTGTTGAAGCTGGGCCATGGCTGTTCCAGGTCAGGCCTCTGATTTTGAAGAAATGGCAGGATGATATCGTTGTTACTAAAGAAGACCATTCCATTATTCCTGTGTGGGTGAAACTATACAACATCCCTCTACAGTACTAGACTGATGATGGTCTTATCTACATTGCAAGTGTCGTGGGAAGACCACTATATGCTGATTCGCTAACCTCTAGAAAAAGCTGAATTGGTTTTGCTAGAATTTGTGTTGAGATTAATGCGAAAGACGATCTTCTTAGTTCGTTTGAACTCCAGCTGGACAAGAATGATGTCAATGGGAATCTTGAAGTGATCATCATTGATGTGGAGTATCAATGGAGACCTAAAAGTTGTCATAAATGTTGCGTTTTTGGTCACAATGAGTCAACTTGTCCCAAACAAAGAATTGTGAAAAGCTGGAAGCCCAAACCAGCTCCTTTACAGGCTAACTCAGAGGAAAGACAGTTGCAACTATGACTGGTTTAGAGCAGCAAAATGCTGATCAGACTCAAGCTGAGGAACTGATAGTATTTCACCAAGCTTCTTCCTCGGCTACTGTCAAGAATAAAATGGGACTGGTTATCCAAGGTGATGCCTCTACTTCATCTCAACAGGACATTTTGGTTCATGACCACCATATCACTAAGATAACAGTCAATGAGAGCAACTCTCCTCAAATGCTCATGCAGCCTGGTGTCACTTTGTCATCTAACAAATTTGAGTAGCTCAACAAGGAGGGGGGCATATTGTGGTTGAATTAAGAGCGGAGCTTGAGCCTGAAGCAAATCAACCAAATAAAGCAACTGAGGAAGTCCATAAGGAGGAGGAACTAGCCACAGTCCAACTTCAACAAATGCCAAACAAAAGGAAGAATGGGAAGAAGAAAGACTCAAAATCCAAGGTGGCTGAGCACCTCTTGCTCAGAAAAATCCAACACCCTCAATGAATTGTGCATGTTGGAACATTAGAGGTCTTAATGAGACCTCTAAACATGGGGAGGTTAGGAAAATTATTTCTAAACAAAAGATTGATATTTTGGGACTTGTTGAAACAAAGGTGAAATCTATAAATAAAAATAGAATCATACAGGGTGTCTTTAGAGATTGGAATTGTCTAGCAAACTATGATAGTCACAACTTTGGAAGGATATGGATTGGGTGGAACCCAGATAATGTGGAACTTAGCAAGATCTCTGAGTCTGACCAAGTTGTCCATTGCAAGATCAAGCATCTTAAGAGCAGGGTGCAATTCACAGCCTCTTTTGTCTATGACTTTAATGATGATAGAGAAAGAAGACCATTATGGAGCTATCTTATCTACGATGCTAGAATCTTCTCAAATGAACCTTGGGTGGTGTTAAGTGACTTTAATGCTATTAGGAGCTTACAGGAAAATGAAAGGTGGCAGAACAGATGAAACTCAACAATGGAAGAATTTGACAGATGTTTATAGGATTCCGAGCTTATTAACCTTAGGTACTCAGGTATCCAATTTACTTGGCATAATAAGAGGGGTGGACATGGATGTGTGGCTCGTAAGCTGGATAGAATCCTTGTGAATGAAAGGTGGAACCTCACTTTTCGGCAGGCTATGACAGAATTTTTACCACTTGGAGTCTCTGACCATAGTCCTGATGTTGTGCATTTGGGACTTCAAGGGGAAAGGAGGAACAACCCTTTCAAATTTTTTAACTTTCTTGTTGAGAGAGAGGATTTCTTAGACGTGGTGAATCAGATTTGGTCACAGCCAATCTTTAAAGGGATGTCCAAGAATATTGGGGAAGTCACAGTTGGAGCCAAGGAAGCTTTGGAGAGATGTCAAAGAATGTTAGATGGTAACCTAAGTGACCTTGCCATGAATCAAGAAGAACAACAACTCTTTGCAAGTTACATTCAAGCTGCTAATATTGAGGAGGGATTTTACAAACAGAAATCAAGGGTCCAATGGCTCAGTGAAGGGAACAAGAATACATTTTTCTTCCACAAAACTATAGCGAATAGAAGGAATAGGAAAAAGATATTGGCTCTTATGAGAGCTGATGGTACCAGGGTTGAAGGGGAACAAGCAGTGAAAGTTGAGGCTCTGGATTACTTTCAAAAGCTCGTGGGACGTTCCTCCTATACTAATGAGAGTAGGGATATGCTGCAACCTATTATCCAAAATAGAGTTATTGATCAACAAGCTGCTGATATGGAGAGGGATGTCACTGAGGAGGAAATCAAGAAAGTTTTTTGCTCTTTCAATGACCAAAAAGCCCCAGGTCCTGATGGGTTCAATGCTGTATTTTTTAAAAGGGCTTGGCATATCATAGAGAAGGATATTGTTTCTGTTGTGAAGGAATTTTTCTCAACTGGAAGATTATTAAAGGAGCTTAACAGTACCATCATTGCTTTAGTACCCAAGGTTTCCAATCCTACAAGTATGGGGGACTAGAGACCTATTTCTTGTTGCAATGTCATGTATAAAGCAATATCCAAGATCATTGCTAACAGGATTAAAGGAGCTCTCCCCATTCTTATAAATCCAAACTAAGCAGCCTTTGTCCATGGAAGAAAGATTGGAGACAATATTCTACTCACTCAAGAGTTAATGAGGGATTACCATAAAAATAAAGGGTCCCTTAGATGCGCTTTAAAGGTGGATTTGAGGAAAGCTTATAACACACTTGACTGGACTTTTATGTTTGAAGCATTGGAGGCTCTTAATTTCCCTCACAGCATAAGGAGATGGATTCAAGCATGTGTTACTTCTGCTAGATTTTCAGTGAACATCAATGGTGGGCTTGTTGGATACTTCCCTAGTAGGAAGGGTTTAAGACAGGGTGACCCTATGTCCCCTTACCTTTTTGTCATTGCAATGAAGTGTTTATCTCTTCTTGTCTAGTTCAACATCAGCTCTAATCCAAGCTTCAGATTCCATTGGAGGTGTAAAACTCTCAAGTTTGCCCAACTTTCATTTGCTGATGACTTGATGTTGTTTTGCTATGGAGATATGAACTATGCTTCTGTGATTAAGAATTCTTTGGACCAGTTCAGTGTGGCTTCAGGGCTTCAGGTTAATACAAGAAAGAGTAATATCTTCATGTGTGCAATTAATGAAGATACTACTTGTCATATAAAGAATTTGTTTGGCGTTGAAGAAGGAAATTTGCCTATCAAATATTTAGGAGTCCCACTCATTTCGTCTGGTTTGAAGTATCAACACTGTTCCAGTCTTATTGAAAAGGTGGAATCAAGAGTTAAGTCTTGGGTCAATCGATCAATTTCATACGCAGGAAGAGTTCAGCTTGTCATATCTATTCTCTGGAGTTTACACATCTTCTAGGCCTCTCATTTGAGTCTTCCACAGAAGGTTATTCACAGAACTGAATAGACTCTGAGATCCTTTATTTGGATAGGGTTTGATCTTTGTCATACGGGAGCAAAGGTCTCTTGGAAAGAGGTATGTAAACCTAAAGAAGAAGGAGGGCTTGGTATCAAAAGGTTGAGGGACTGGAATCGAGCACTGCTAATGAGGCACTTGTGGTAGCTTTTTAATGACAAGGAGAATTTATGGACTCAATGGATTCATGCCTATTACATCAAAGACAGAATCCTTTGGGACCTCAAAGCCACCCAAGCATGCTCTTGGAATTGGAGAAATTTGCTTAAACTTAGAGAATTGTTCAGGCCATGCATTATCCATAGGGTAAGAAATGAGAACTCTACTAGCCTTTGGCAAGATAACTGGCACCCCCTTGGTCCTCTCCTTCGAAGAAGCAACCCAAGGATCATGCTAGAATTCGGAATTCCAAGGAACACAAAGGTTAGCAGAATTATTTTGAACAACCAATGAAATTGGACAATTGGTACTTCCATTCAACTGTAGGAAATCATCAATGCAATGCCAAGCTACCTTCTTGACCATGATACTGAGGACTCAGTAAAGTGGACTTTAACTGCGAGAGGTAAGCTTTTTGCCAAATTTGCTTGGGAACATATCAGGAGTGAAGGTCCAACCATGCAATGTGATAAACTTGTTTGGTATGGTAAAGCTATCCCATGAATGACCTTCATCCTCTAGCTTGCTATTAGATGTAAGCTGAGCACCAAGGACATAATTCAAATATTTGTAGCTCAGATCGACCCACAATGTGTTCTATGTAGGAGAGTTGAAGAAACTCACAACTATTTGTTTTTTGAATGTAATTTCTCAAACAGGGTTTGAAATGGTGTTATGCTCCTATGCAACCAGCAGTGGCAGCAGAGACAATGGATTGACTCAATTTCATCGGCTGCTCAACAATGGAGAGGAAAATCAATGAAGACAACTATTTTAAAGCTCTGTCTTTCAATTACTGTCTATTCGTTGTGGACTGAGAGGAATGGTAAAATTTTCAAAACGTTGAGCAAAGACCCACATTCTCTTCTTCAATCCATCAAGCAAACCATTAGAGAAAGGCTCATATCTTTGAAATTCAAGCGGACTCAACATAATGCAATTTTGCTACAACATTGGAATCTTCCTGAAGCTTGTTTGATATGATCTGTCTTTGGCTTCCCATTGGTTACTATGTTTGCTACCCACTGTTACAGGTTGCTGTGTCTATTTCCCTATGTTGCAGTGCTGCTTTGCTTGCTACCTACTGTTGTAGTGCTCCTGTGCATCTCTGTGGTTCTCTGTTTTTCTCGGTTTTTGGTCATTGCACTGGGAGGCTTCATGAATTTGCAAGCACCAGCATGTTATCTTTAATGGGTAGTTAGTCCATCTTTTGTGACACTTTGTTCCTTTGTGGCAACCGCTACAGTTTTTGCTAGAAGCTACAGGAAAGTTTTCTTTTGGAGATGATGTATTGATCTGTAGCAGTCCCATGTTCCAGCCGCTTGCTTGAATGCTACAGGCATGTTTTGGGTGAAGATACTGCATTGTTGGAACTCCTTGTGTACTGCCTCTTTGATTGGTTTCATACTTTGTTTGTATACCATTGTTTTCTTTTGTTAACAAGTTTGTGGGAGATGTTCTTACATACTTGTATTTTGAGGTCAAGGCTTTTGGGTTTGATGTTTGTTTTGAATCCTATGTGTCCTTATTGTACATTTGTGGGTGATTACCCTTGTTTCTGTTAATATATTTTACCTTCTGAAAAAAAAAACTTTGCAGCATGAAAAAGTATCTCTAATGAGAGTGAGAGAGAGAGAGAGAGGGAGAAAGAGAGAGAGATTGCACGTTGTCATAGAATAAGGCTACGAGAACAACAAACTTTTAACATATTTATATGTTTGCAGTGAAAGATAAAATTCTCTAAGGGAATTTAGGGACTCCAACAACTGCTTAATAGCAGAATTTACTAAGTACCTTGCTGGTAGCTAGTGAGAAAAAAAAATACATTTACTTCTTGTTGCTACCATCAGGTTAAGCACAATCGAAAATTCCAAAGCACTATGCCAAGCAGCCTTAACAAGGGTCGTTTTCGTTGTTTTTGAATTCAAAATACGAGCAGGACAACCATATTTGAGGATTGATGAGCGCTGGGTATTTCGTGAGGCAAACTCTTGAAAGGATCTGAAATTGCACAATGAAATCATGAAAGAGTGAAGTAGCAATTTCCCAGAGAAGTTGCGAGTCTTTTTGGATGAAATGTTGAGTGGGACACACAGGAAGCTAGGGATATAACATGATCTCAACACAAAGAAGATGGGAGTGATATGTCAAGTGTAATGGTATTGGCCAATGATCAAGTTGAATATATGTTTTAGGGATTGGCGATTTACTCTTTGAGTGACTTTGGTTCTCAAGGACTTCTACTGTGAATAGAGTTGCCTATTATTATCTTCTAGCCAAAATGGCACCCGAACTATTACTGGTTCTTCAAATATTAAGCATTGCTTTACTATTTCAACCACAGGGAACAGCCTCGATGGCAAAGCTTGATTGCCAACAGAAATGTGGGCACATGACAATTCCTTATCCATTTGGCATCGGACAAGGCTGTTGCATGGAAAAAGAATTTGAAGTCACATGCACAAATGGGTCATGGGCCTGGCTGGTCGGTGAGTTATTTGTATTGGACTTGTCCCTCGATTACATCCGTGTTGGTGGTGGAAGTATGGCAATCGACTGTTTCAACGATTCTGGGACAAATTCTATAGGCTTGAATTACAAGTTGAACCTGAGATTCAGTTTTTCCCACACCCAAAATAAGTTTGTAGCTGTAGGATGTGACATTTTCGCCTATATTATTGACCCTAAAAGTGCAAACTATACAAGTGGGTGTGTGTCCTTATGTCATAATGATACTGCAAGACCAATTTTGGGTCTTTCTTGCTCTGGTGTTGGGTGCTGCCAAACAACTATCCCAAACGATATCTCCTCATTTGATCTCCAAATCATCAGCATGAATACTTTTAACCATTCTTGGAGCTCTCACCCATGCACCGCAGCCTTTGTTGCCCAGAAGGACTTTTCCAGTTACAGGAGAGGAATAGAGATGTACCCCTTTATCCCTACCGTGCTTAGTTGGTCGATTGGAAACGTCAGTTGTGATGAAGCTTAGAGAACAGGAAGCCTTTTATGCAGCCGGCACAACTATTGTGATGACAACACACAAGGCAAGGGATATAAGTGCGGTTGTTTGGATGGTTACCACGGGAGCCCTTACCTTCCTAAGGGATGCCACGGTATGCATAGGCTTTTCTATTACAATTTCATTTTGTTATAATTCCTAGGACTACTACAAGGTTCCTAGAATTACTACAATAGTATTCATTTTGTACATAGTGGAGTTTCTTTGCTACTTAAAAACCGTTGCCTTCTTGATACTTTACTAGGTTTATTTTGTCTTCTTTGGGTAAAATATTTTGCTATGATCCTAAAGCTACATTGGTTAAGAATGAGTTTAGTTTCAAAGTGACTTACTCATGGGTTTATATTTTTTGGTTTGAAAAAGAGACAGTATGTCATAACTTCGTCCGTATAAGGAACGACCTATAGGCTTAGATTGAAATGCCTTAGTACTATAAATGGGTATAATGTTATAATCTAGCCTATAAGTTGCACTTTGTTGATGATGCCTACAGAGCCACAATGAATATGGCATGTCTGACTATGACACAAATTGATTTGAAGCGATGATAGAGTGCACTTTAAAAGTTGGCTTGTAAAAAAAAGATGATTTATGAACGTACATATGACAAACTAAATCTTTACTGTTGTGAACATATTGGATCATAACATATTACCTTAAATTTGTTCTATAAAGTATTTCCATTGTTGTAGCGCGATGAACAAGATAACAAAAAATTTACAAATACTAATGAGAACTTATGCTATTAATTTTATCTCATTATGAATCTGGGAGGAATTCTAATATTAGCATTCTATTTTGGGCTTCTTAAAAGATATCATGAGTGTGAAGACCCAAACAACAAATGCCAGAGTAACGCTATTTGCACCAATACGCCANGTATAATGCTATAATATAGTCTATAAGTCGCACTTTCTTGATGACGACTAGAGAGCCACAACAAATACTGTGTGTCAGACTATGACACCAAGTGATTTGAAGCGACGGTAGAATTCACTTTGAAAACTAGTTTGTACAGAAAGGTTGCTTTAAGAACGCATTTACTGTTGTGAACATTTTGGTTCATAACATATTACCTTAAACTTGTTCTATAAAGTATTTCCATTGCTGTAGCATGATGAACAAGATAAACAACAATTTTAACAAACACGAATGAGAACTTATGCTATTTAATGTTATCTTATTATGAATCTGGGAGAAATTCTAATATTACCGTTATATTTTGGACTTCTTAAAAGATATCAATGNATGAGAACTTATGCTATTTAATGTTATCTTATTATGAATCTGGGAGAAATTCTAATATTACCGTTATATTTTGGACTTCTTAAAAGATATCAATGAGTGTGAAGACCCAAACAACAATTGCCGAAGTGAAGCTATTTGCACCAATACGCCAGGCAGCTACAGGTGCAGTTGCNTGAGTGTGAAGACCCAAACAACAATTGCCGAAGTGAAGCTATTTGCACCAATACGCTGGGCAGCTACAGGTGCAGTTTCNACCAATACGCCAGGCAGCTACATGTGCAGTTGCCCACATGGTTATCAGATCTATCACAATGCAAGTGGATATTTTGGATGCAAATCTAATGGAGGAAGGTCACCATTTACTCAAATTGCCTCTTTAGGTATACAATTTCTCTTCTCATCTTCCCATCCTTTAACAAACTTTGACTGAACTATACTAACAAACTTTCATTGTCCCTTGCAGCCACGAAAATTGCTACTGGTGCTCTAATTCTAATAGCCATTGGTCTCTTGATGTACCACAAACTCGAACAAAGAAAGAAATTCAACATGAGGCAGATGTTTTTCAAGAGAAATGGGGGCTTCCTATTGCAACAAAAAATCTCTTCTAGTAATGAAAGTTCAATAAAAACCCGACTCTTCAAAACGGACAAGTTGGAGAAAGCAACAGACTTCTTAAATAAAAGTCGAATCCTCGGCAAGGGAGGAGAGGGTACAGTTTACAAAGGGATGTTACTAGATGGAACAATTGTTGCTATCAAGAAATCAAATATAGTTGATGAAAGTCAAGAAGTTCGAGTCCTTAATGAAGTTTGCATTCTTTCACAGGTAAACCACGGGAATATTGTCAAATTGTTAGGTTGCTGTTTGGAGTATGAGGTTCCATTGCAGGTTTATGAATTTGTCTCCAATGGCACATTGTCACAACATCTTCATTATGCCGGAAATATTTCAACAATATCGTGGGAAAACCGACTGTGAATTGCCGGGGGAATCGCCTGTGCACTTGCTTATCTACACTCATATGCTTCAATTGCTATTTTTCATAGAGACATAAAGTCTAGCAACATATTATTGGATCACAATTTCAGGGCTATAGTGTCTAATTTTGGACTTTCTAGGTCAGCATCCATTCACTGGACTCACTTAACGACATTGGTCGGGGCACATTTGGTTACCTAGATCCCGAGTACTTCTGGTCTGGCAAGTTTACTGATAAAAGTGATGTTTATGCCTTTGGTGTGGTTCTTGCTGAGCTCTTAACTGGGAAAAAGGCCATCTCAAGTAGTAGTTCTGATGAAGGTCTGGTTATAAACTTTTTGACATTGTTGAACCAGGATCGCCTGTTTGAGATTCTAGATGCTTTGTTGACCGACAAAAATCGAAAGGATGAGATTCTTGATGTGGCTGAGCTTGCTAAGACGTGTCTGAAAAAGAAAGGGAAGAAAAGGCCAAGCATGAAAGAAATAACAGCAGAGCTAGATCGACTGATAAGAGTACAGGAACTGCCATCGTAGCAACATAATTTCAAGTATAAATATTCCTCAAACTAATATTGCAAAAGGATTTTTAGAAAAGTTAATTGATGTTCAAATTGTACAGTTATGAAATTAGCTTTCTATTTACCCTGAATAAGGTACTCGATGCAACAAAGATACAACATTGTTTAAGGACAAATCCTGTTAGAAATTAAACTTGATTTAAATGGAAGCTTCTAATACATTTTAGAAACTACTAGACATGGTGAAATTCAAAGTCATATATGTATGTGAGGATTCATGTATTTGGTCATTCATTTAGATCTCCAATAGTCATCTTGAAAATGTGAAGTCATTAAAAATAGGGACATCAACTTAGGTAGGTACATGATCCTTGTATCCTATAAATACCCCTGTACTTCTCTCCTTCATCACTTCCTCCATTGTGTGTCTAGATTTTTTTAACAAAGTGGTATTAGAGCTTGGTTTCGATATAACCTTGGGAGTCTATAAGTGATCAATATTGTTGGCAAACATGGCATCATGAATGAGTATTGGAAGTTCAAATACAAATTTTTCATTTTGATGGAGAAGATTATGAACATTGGAAGGTCAAAATGAGGACCCTCCTCAAAGCAGAAGGGTTATGAATTGTTGTTGATAAAGGATACATCGAGCTAGAAGATGAAAGCCAACTCCAACAGGAAGTACTAAAGAAACTTGAGACAAATCGAAGAAACGATGAAGTGAACTCAACGAAATTCAGTGTGCAGCTTCCAAAAGCAATTTTCTCAAGCATCATGGGTGTTGCAACATCCAATGAAGCATGGATATAATGTCAAAGTTCAATTCTTATGGATAAAGGAAAAAATAAAAAATGTCAAAGAATATTTTTCTTGATTTATTGAAGTTTTCAATCAAATGAGGACAATGGATGAAGATATTTCAGATCAGAAAGTAGTTGAAACATTCTGAGCAGTTTGCCTGAAAGGTATGAGTATATTATTACTGCCATTGAGGAGTGCAAAGATCTTAGTACAGTATCCATTCGAGAATTGATGGAATCACTGCAGTCCTATGAACAAAGAATAATGAAGCACTCTGAATAGTCGGTGGAAAGTGCATTACAGTCCAAGTTCAACTTGAAAATATTCTCAAAGGAGGGAAATTCAATCAATGAGAAGAAGCAAAGCACACTAAAGGATGAACGAGCATGACTCAAACAGAAAAGGAGAAAGATAAAAAAAGAGTAACTTGTTCCCACAACTCTAAATTCTCTTGCAAGATCTGTAAGAAAAGAAATCGTTGGTTTCGTGGAAAGGTTCAATGCTCTCACTGCAAGAAGTTTGGACACAAAGAGGAATATTATAAATTTAAGTAAAATGATCAGGAAAATTTTTCCAAGGAAAAATAAAACTTATTTTATGGATGTTAGTAAGCATCCCATGACAAGAAAAAATTTTGGTACCTCGACAGTTACAATAGCAATCACATGTAAGGGGATGGAAAAATATTCCTTGATGTTGATGCTATGGTTACATCTAAGGTATGCATGGGAAATGCAAAAAAAAAAATGCATGGGAAATGATGTTGTTGAAGCAAGATGAAAAAGGTACAAGTGTAGTTGAAACAAAGAATGGGCTGAGATATATCATAGATCATTAGTATCAAACAAGAAAATCAAAACAAATAAATAAAAATAATAAATAAAACAAAATAGCAACGAACTAAAACAATTTCATTTTTCACAACGTGAACACACATACTCAGCAACATTTGAAAATTCAATTGAACAATGCCATATAAAAAGGTTTATAATTAGTGGNTAGGTTCGTTTTGTTGCCCCCAATTCTGCTAGAGTTCAATAAGTGCCTTAGATAAATTTAAAAATCTTTATTGTTTATGGATAAATCCTGTTAGAAATTAAACTTGATTCAGATGGAAGCTTCTAGTACATTTTAGAAAAATACCTGACATAGTGAAATTAAAAGTCATACATGTATGTGAGGATTCAGTTATTTGATTATTCATTTAGATTTTCAAAAGTCAACGTGAAAATGTGAAGTCATTAAAAATAGGGACATCAACTTGGTGTCCTTTTTCTCCATATCAAAGGAAAAGTTAATACTATCCATTTAAAACTCCAACACAAAATAGAGGCAAAGGACTTCCAGCAAGAATGTGATGCTCTGTACTCCTTCCCTTACTTCTCCTCCTTCGATGACCCATCATAACCAGCTTCCTTTTCTCTCTAATCCCATCATTAGCATAGTTTCTTGCTTTTGAATGGACCCTTCTCCCGTCTCTAACCCTAGGGCTGAAGATCCTTGCACAACCGAGGGTGTCTCTGCTTCTCCAACAGTGGATCCTGTAGATCTGTCCACTATGGGTAAATTTAATAGCCATTACTGCTCCGTTTCTACTACAAGCCATGATGGTAGGGTCCAAGAGGAGTTATTGCCCACTTATGCTGCTTCCACTGCTGTGTGTGTGGAAGGTATGAACATTTCAGCCAATAGGAGTCAGAATACTGAATCTACTGTTAAAACAGGGGAAATCCCCGCTGCTCTGCTCAGATCTGGCACTAATGTCCCTTGGAGTCAGATGCTCAAGTATGGAAGGAATCGCCCTAACCCTGAAACTAGCAGGATTGAGCAAGGTGCCATGAAATTGCATTATTATGAACCCAAAATAGTTAACAATCGTGTTGTTGTTCAACCCCCAGCTGAAGTAGCAAGCAAAGGCTGCGCCTTATGGAGTAAATATCTTGTGGGATACTTCATAGAGAAAAAATTGTCATTCTCGATAGTGTAATTCATTGCTCATAAGATATGGTATAAAATGGGCCTATTGGAGGTGCTGGCTAACGAGCATGAATTCTTTTTCTTTAGATTCGATGATGAGGAGGCAAGAACAAAAGTGTTGGAAACTGGTCCATGGTAGGCCTCTCTTCCTTAAGAAATGACAGTCTGATGTTGCTGTCTCAAAAGAAGACCACACTTTGATACCAGTATGGGTGAAGCTGCATAATATTCCTCTACAGTACTGGACAGACGAAGGTATCAACTACATCGCAAGTGCGATTGGCAAACCATAATATGCTGATTCACTTACTGCAACGAGGAAGAGGATTAGCTACGAACGTGTATGTGTGGAGATTAATGCTAAGTGTGACCTTATTGAATCATTTGACTTGCTGTTGGACAGGTATGATGATAGTGGTAATCCCATTTTGGTTTCCATTGGGGTTGAGTTCCAATGGAAACTTAAGGTTTGTCTTAGTTGTAAGACATTTGGATATGCTCAGTCTAACTGCCACAAGCAGGTAGACAATAGGCCAAAAGAGATTGCTCCCCAATCTCTCCAGGCCAGTAAACTTGAAAAAGGGAAAGTCATTGTGAGTACTACTATTGTGGTGGAGGAGCCTGATCAAACTAGTAACGCTGTGCCTTCTTCCCAACTGGCCAGCAGTTCAGATGTCTTGAATGGGGGCAAAGAAATTGTGGTGATTGAGGAACAAGCAATCCCCCCAGCCTATCTGAGAAACACAAAGGTAGTCAACTCTATGAAATGAAGGGTAATTTAAATATGTGCAGAGGGTCTATTGTTGTAGACATTAGCCCAGCCCATCCTAAAGCTAGTGAAGTGGAGAGAGATGGCCTAGTGGATACTGAGAATTAGTGGATAACCCAGAAAAG